AGCTTCTTAGAGCCACAGAAATGGGCCTGGCTGGTCTGTTCTCTGAGCTTTTGTTCATATAGTATCTTCCAGACATTCGTGGGGCCAGCCCCGGTGATGAGAATACGGGTGTGAGTACAAGTCCTGCCTTCAGGAAGACCCCAGTCTATGAGGAACAGCTCACCATCAGGTTGGGGGGAAGGTGCACAATCATAGCCAGTTTAAGCTTATTGGCTGGGTTTGTCCAAAAAGAATATTTACCAACGGTGACCTTTGCATGGACAGGGACCAGACCTTTGTTTTTAATCATTATATTATTTTGTGCTCATCTCCTACATGTAGAATATCACTTAGAGAATTATGTTCAGGAAAGGTCTTCACAGGGAAAGAGCCTGTGCCTTAGAGTCCAGCAGTCAAGGGTCTAATGAAGCCATTAGAATGACTAAATTGAGAAAGCTGAGAAAATTGTCAGTAATATAAGAGTGTGTGGCACGGAGTCCAGGAAATACCAGTAAATGATAACCATTACTGTCTTCGTTAGTCCTTCACTGTAACTCTGTGTTTTCTCGGAGCCAACCCAGAGGAGAAGCATCGAATAGTTAAATGACCTTACTGCTGCATCAGCTTTGTATAATTGACCTCGTGTGAACTTTTGGATTTCCGTAGGGACCAATTTGAGAACCTGTGCGTGTTGAACATACAGTTCTTTGTTTTTGAGCTTGGTCTGCATTATGGCTCTGTCCATAGGGACAGCCAGGCCCCAGTGGCCATTTTGTAGAACAATCTTCCGTTTTGGCCTTTTGGCCAAATGTAGTCGAACCACACATCTCCAGCCTGAAACTACTGGCTTCCATATTTCTATATTTTATTTCTATCTTACCACATGCTCTATTTGCTATATTTTAATCTTCTAAAACTTTTCTTTCTTTAAAAAGAAATTCCCGGCCGGTTGCAGTTGCTCACACCTGTAATCCTAAGCACTTTGGGAGTTTGAGGCAGAAGGATCACTTGGGCTTTAACATTTGAGACCAGTCTGACCAAGAGTGAGACTCCATATCTACTAAAAATAGAAAAATTAGCTAGGTGTGGTGGTGTAGCTCTGTAGACTCAATACCTGAGATCCTGAGGCAGGAGGATCACTTGAGCCCAGGAGTTTAAGGTTGTTCTGGGATATGATGCCAGGGCACTCCACCCAGGTCGACAAAGTAAGATACTATCTAAAAAAAGTAAAAATAAATTAAAATTCCTCACCACTTACCTCTGTATAGTTTATAGATTTTTTTTTTTTTTTTTTTGCAGTTTTTGGCCGGGGCTGGGTTTGAATCCACCACCTCTGCCATATGGGGCTGGTGCCCTACTCCTTTAAGCCACAGCACTGCCCTAGTTTATAGATATTTTAACTAGGAAATATTCAATATTTTTCTTTCAATAAATTAAATGTCACCAGCTAATCTGAGAAAAAAATAAAATATGAAGCCATTAGAATGACTAGCAGCACTCACAAAATGCTACTTCTATTTTATTTTTATGAAGCTCAATCTGTCTTACAAAATTTGATTAGATTATGAACATGACCATTTCTGTGAGCTTCTCATATCTACCAAGAATTGATGCAGACTCAATTTTGGGTTGCATTCATGATTCCAGATTTGACATGAATTGTCTTGCCCTGCCTTAAACAGTCGAGTTTTTTTTTTTTTTTTTTTTTTTTGAGAAGGAGCCTCAAGCTATCCCCCTGGGTAGAGTGCATGGCATCATGCTCACAGCAACCTCCAACTCCTGGGCTCAAGCGAGTTTCCTGCCTCTGCCTCCCAAGTAGCTGGGACTACAGGTGCCTTCCACAACGCCTGGCTATTTTTTGGTTGCAGCCATCCTTGTTGTTTGGCGGGCCCGGGCTGGGGATTCGAACCCGCCACCTTAGGTGTATGTGGCTGGCGCCTTAGCCGCTTGAGCCACAGGCGCCGAGCCTAAACAGTCGAGTTTTAACAACAGCAGAAGGACACAATGAGAAGAGATGGCGAAGAGAGAAAGAATGTGAAGTTAGAGAATTTCCAAGAGCTCAGGCTTCCTAATAAAACATGTGGCAGGGTCATCTGCTGAGAGGCAGGGGGTGGGAGCTTCAGAGACCATGAGGGAGAGTCACATCCAGAGCAGAGTGGGAGAGAAGCAGTGACAGGTTCTGCTCTTTCAGGATGAGCCCTTAGTACATAAACCTTCAGCCATGGCTCGGCGCCTATAGCTCAACCGGCTAAGGCGCCAGCCACGTACACCTAAGGTGGCAGGTTCGAATCCCCAGCCCGGACCTGCCAAACAACAATGACGGCTGCAACCAAAAAATAGCCGGGCGTTGTGGCGGGCGCCTGTGGTCCCAGCTACTTGGGAGGCAGAGGCAGGAGACTCGCTTGAGCCCAGGAGTTGGAGGTTGCTGTGAGCTGTAATGCCATAGCACTCTACCCAGGGGGACAGCTTGAGGCTCTGTCTCAAAAAAAAAAAAAAAAAAAAAAAAACCTTCAGCCATAAGAAGGCAATATTTGGCATTCTATCCTGGGGTCACAAAGGTAAAAGCACTCATTTGTGAACATTTTTGTTTCAGAGACACGGCCAAGTCCAACTGCTTTGCTAGGCAGAGGGGTTCTCACTTTGTTTCCGCAGCTCTTTTCTTCCTGAGTGACTCAGGTTTGCAGTAGCTTTTCCTTGACTTTAAAAAATGACTCAAAGATTTTTACTGTGAAAGTGGCAGGGGCTGCTAGGCCTCCAGCCTCCCAGGTGGCAGTGAACCATGTTGTTAGCCATATTTTTCTCTTGGATTAAACTTAGCGGGAAAGATATGCAAGTACTTCTTTCCCACTGGCTGGTATTGCGTGCTTTCATTCCACATGATTCAAGCTTCTTTGTTGTGCACAAACATTGCATGGCACACCTACCATATGCCAGGCCCACGCCTGGCCTGGTGGATGCAGAGGTGACTCAAAGTCTCCATCCACCAGGAACACCAAGTCTCTGCGTCCCTGTATTTTAGCCTGCTTAGTCATGTTGCTGTCATTTGGGGAAGTGGCTTTTGAAATAGTAGCTTTCAGGCAGCCTTTGCCTTATCTCTCTTTAAGGGTGGGAGCTGGGGGGAAAAGGCAAAGAGTCTCACTCTCATCAAGTTGCCGTTCTAAGATGGCCCAAGCACTCATCTCTGTAAGGCCAGCCTAGAGTCTCATGTTTCATCTCGTCTTTAAAAAGCTTCAGCGAGATTAGATATCTAAATCTTGTTACTAGTGCTAATCCCATAAGGATTAAATACAGAGAACCTCATTAAAATCTTCCTACTATTAAAAAACAGATTACTGTAGCTCTTAGTAAAACAGTCCAAGGAGGGGCTCCCAGTTACTGAGCGTGTTTGTTAACTAACATCAGGTAGAGATCCCAGGAGGACCTAGCACTTTCCAAACGGTTAACCATGGAGCCAGGCAGACATACCCTGTCTTTGCCATTCCAGCTTATCTAGGGGGTGAAGACCAGCAGTGCTTTTGTCTAACACCCTGTGCAGGTGCTCCTGTGCACACTACAGTTTAGGAACTCCTGCATATGGTTGTGCTGGCCTGACTTAGCCTGCATCCTACTCCAAAAGGGAGACAGATATAAGGGGAGTTTGTCCCAGGCTCAAAAAGTAGTGTCCCCCTTAATTTGCTGATTAGAGAATAAGCTGTTCAACTCTATTAGGATGTCAAAACCTCGGGACGATGCCAAGGTCAGCAATCATGTTCATTGTAAATCCATGCTCTTCTTATGCCAGTCTACTTTGCATATACTTCTTGCCAAATCCCTGACTTTCCCTAGGTTTTAAGTTGGCTCCCTGCAGAGTCTACAGTTTAGCCTTTGAAAGATGTGATGAATCCTTTCACCTGTGTCTGACCATTAACCTACTCTTAGCAAAGCTGCTGAGACATATATGACTTCAACAATGTCCTAAGGGAATGCTGGCTGAGCTCATCCCTCCTGAGCAAACTAGGCCCAGATACCCTTTCCGTTCAGAGGTCTCCTCTGTGAATATCTGAATGGGACTGCCTCCCTTGGCACCCTGTTCCTACGTCACCGAGAACATTTTATTCTAATCCTACAGAGCATCCTGGATGTCTCTCTTGACTGAAGTTTGTCTTTCCTTCCCTCTCCAACACTGACAAGAAGATCCTGTAAATAACATCCACTTGGCACTTTTTTTAACATCGTGAATCATCATACACATGGGTGTAGCATCCCAATTTGTAACCCAAGCAGCTAATTTTTTTTTTTTTTTTTTTTTTGAGACAGAGCCTCAAGCTGTCCCCCTGGGTAGAGTGCCATGGCATTACAGCTCACAGCAACCTCCAACTCCTGGGCTCAAGCGAGTCTCCTGCCTCCGCCTCCCAAGTAGCTGGGACCACAGGCGCCCACCACAGGCGCCCGCCACAACGCCCGGCTATTTTTTGGTTGCAGCCGTCATTGTTGTTTGGCAGGTCCAGGCTGGGGATTCGAACCCGCCACCCTAGGTGTACGTGGCTGGCGCCTTAGCCGGTTGAGCCACAGGCGCCGAGCCCCAAGCAGCTAATTCTAAAGAATCTTTCCGTTTTATTTAGATCTGTGTGTGAACATATGTGCTCATGTACATCCTAAATATCTGCCTTGATTTCCATGAGCATCTAGACAGGTTTCGTGTGACCCACCTTTAAAGGAGCATTGTACAGTTGATACATGGTACCTGTGCTCATGGGCACTACTGATGCCCTGTGTTCTCATATACCAAGGAATACTTCTCTCTAGGTAGCCAGAGCAGTGTCTGTCAATTTGTCTGTCTTTCTTCACACACATGCATATACAGGGCAGACCTAAAGTTCATATGTAATTTACTATGTTAAACTATTTTAACACCTGTATACACATGTATGTGTATGTGTATGTTTTAATATAGTGGTACCCATTTAGTAACCCTTCAGTTTGTGTTTTCTTCATCATTTGTTACACCTGAAATGATTGAGCGCTCTTACCCTTTTGCACAGGCTGCACATGGGAATTTGGAGCCATGGTGAACTACATCAAGAAGACATATCCCCTGACCCAGCTGGTGGTCGTGGGCTTCAGCCTGGGTGGTAACATCGTGTGTAAATACTTGGGGGAAACTCAGGCAAACCAAGAGAAGGTCCTGTGCTGTGTCAGCGTGTGCCAGGGGTACAGTGCACTGAGGTAAGCCATCTCTACCTTCATCGGGTCCTTCATTTGCAGTTGTTTACACCAGACACTGGTCTGTAAAGACCAGGGAAACACTGTGGCAGACTGAGCAGAAGTTTCTGAGTCTTACTTAGACTTACCTTGTTTTCTTTCCATATTATGCATTAGACTTGTCCCATCAGATGCCTTAAGCTTAGAATATACAGCTGCACTCTGGGATCAGCTCTGTAATTGGAGATGCCAGTGCCCCCTCCCCCCACCAAAGCTGCTGTTTCCCTAGGGAATCTCTGAGAAGTGACTTACTGTGTTCATGCTGCAGGAGTTTGGTAGAACCATAGGTTAATAGAAAAACACAGGAGAGCTGGGCCTTATGATCAGGAAGGAATCTGCACAAATCACTTCATCAGACTCCTTACCTTCAAGTATTTGTTTCCCTTTGACATCCCAGGCATCATCACAAAGGAGCTGACCCACCTGGTAAAGCTTTTTCTTTCCACTTAGTCTCTTGCCAACAGACACCCCACAGGATAAGTCCCAGGAAGGCCTGGTCAGCTGCTTTACCTTCTCTTCAAGATCATTGCTGTGTCCTAGATCTCTTAGAGCCACTATACTCACACACATTTATATGCACACATCTCTCTCCAGGGGTGTTTAACCTTTTATTTTTTTCCTCTGCTGCACATTAACTACACAAACACTAACAAAAGCTGATGAGCGGCTCGGCGCCTATAGCTCAACTGGCTAAGGCGCCAGCCACGTACACCTAAGGTGGCGGGTTCGAATCCCCAGCCTGGACCCGCCAAACAACAATGACGGCTGCAACCAAAAAATAGCCGGGCGTTGTGGCGGGCGCCTGTGGTCCCAGCTACTTGGGAGGCGGAGGCAAGAGACTCGCTTGAGCCCAGAGTTGGAGGTTGCTGTGAGCTGTAATGCCACGGCACTCTACCCAGGGGGACAGCTTGAGGCTCTGTCTCAAAAAAAAAAAAAAAAAAAGTCTGCGCATACTTTTCACAATATCACATACCACAGATAAGCAAAACAGGCCTCAGATAACCTGCTTGTGCCCCACTGGCCATAGGTAGGACACCCCTGCTAGGTTCTCAGACTACATTCTTATTTTATGCTGTACCCATTCCTCCTGTTGGCTTTTATATTACAGATGGGTATGATCAGTTATTAAAGATCTTCTGAAGAAACTCAAAACTGCACAAGAAAGTAAAAAAAAAACTCCCTGTTGATCAAGTATAATGCTAAACACTCCTGGTAGTTGTTTGTTTTTTTTTTTTTTTTGAGACAGAGCCTCAAGCTGTCCCCCTGGGTAGAGTGCCGTGGCATTACAGCTCACAGCAACCTCCAACTCCTGGGCTCAAGAGTCTCCTGCCTCCGCCTCCCAAGTAGCTGGGACCACGGGGTGCCCGCCACAACGCCTGGCTATTTTTTGGTTGCAGCCATCATTGTTGTTTGGCGGGTCCAGGCTGGGGATTCGAACCCGCCACCTTAGGTGTACGTGGCTGGCGCCTTAGCCAGTTGAGCTATAGGCGCCGAGCCGTCTCCTGTTGTTGTTAAAAGTTGTTAAAAGAATCCTTTCTTTTTGCCTCACCTATATCTTTCTGCTGCTGCAGTTTAAATCTATTTGGTTATTTCCCGATGGAAAGAGGTTACTGTATTATTTCTAAAAATACATAGTCCTGGAACTTAAAGTGAAAGGACAAATATGGGACCAGTCTCTGCCTATGAGGCTTAAAGCTGGCCAGAAAGGGGGACCTAAATGCACCTAAAGCAGTCATGGGGAAACATGTCTGATTTCTAGGGCCAAGATCTGGGTTCCCGATTTGCTCGTCTGAAATATAGGAGGTAATGATAATAAGGAGTACCTACCTCACAGCACCACTGAGAGGGTGAAATGAGTAATGTATATGAGTTCTGAGAACATTTCTTGGCACATGGAATGTAAATAACTGTTAATTGTCATCATTATCATCACCATTCACTGTAAAATGAGGGTGGATTAGCACAGTGGGTCACAAAGACCAGTCTGGTACACTAGTGACTGTCTCACTTCACTTGGGGGATCATTTAGATGAATAAAATAAATAGAAATAAATTCAGTTTCCTGGACTCCCACCCTGGAGATTCTGATTCATAAAGTCTGAGGCACAGGACCCCAAGAATCTGCATTTTGGAAACATTTTACATGTGACTTCTGATGGTTAGCCATATTTAACAGTTGTTGCCTTGGTGACCTTCATGGTCCCTACAGCCCTAGAATTCCAGGACTAGAGTGGTCTCCTCATTCTCCTGTTGAGAATCTTTCCCTTACCTCCCCTGGACACTCTAGGGAACCAGCTGAAGAACATGTTCTTTTATTATGGTTTGACTAGAAATATTCGAATTGCAATTCACTTTCGTACATAGCCAAAGTTAGCCAAAGTCCTGTCTTTTCTGGCCACTGGGATAAGGGAAAGGTCAGCAAGGAGCCCACCTAGGAGCCAGGAGGCATTCTGTCCTGACCATTGCTCCAATTTTTCGCACTCCTCTGTTGTCTGTAAGGTTGGAATCACTATATTCCTTTCCTTAACTAATGGGTGTGGACTTGCTGTCACCAGTGACTTTGTGTTCAGAGAGTGCTGAATTTGATTAGTGGGAGGAGGTAGGACAAGTTGTTTTCATTGGGGTCTTTTTTTTAGTGTACACATGATGCTACCACCTTCGGTTCATTTTGCTGCAGTAGCGCCATCTGCTGTTGGCAAGAGCACATGATTGGCACAGTTAGCCAGCTGAAGTGTTTGGACTGGGTAGGCAAAGGAGTTTCAAGAAGCTAGGAAACTAAAGTCTGTGAGTTGCTATATATTTTACAGACATGATATACACAGCCTCTTCCTTGAGAGTTCAAAGAGCTTCATACACATAATTACCTACTGTACCATCAATTTTATCCTCGGAGCACAGAGAACTAAGATCTAGGCTAAGATGGTGAGGTCCTGTGCCCAGGAACTGGTAGCAGGTCAGAGACACACCATTGCCCTGTGTGTGCTGGTGCTACCTGGGCCTCAGGTCCTCTCAACATTTTACCTAGATCTATAGAATGAAGAACAGTTCCTTACTTTAAACCAGTATAACCTTTTTTTCTTGCCAAGGCTTGAGGGCAGCAGGCCTTTTCAGCGCTGGGATGATGGCAGCATGCGTGTGCTTCCTGTTAAACCAAGGTGGAGCAGGGAAGGCTCCTCTGCAGGGGCCACACAGGAGTTCATGCTTCTGGTAAATTCCTTCTAGTTGAGTCTGGAGAACCGCTTGCTCAGTGATCCCTTCCCTCTGGCTTCTCGTCCCCATAGCTTTGCCTCTCCTCTAGCCAGAGCCATTCGAAGGCTCAGAGAGAAGCCAACACCTGCTTGCTGTAGTTAGCAAAGTCTAGCTGCTGCTAAAGATGCTCATATCTTATAATGTGCTGGACCACTGAAAGAAGCTGGCCAGAAAGGAGGACCTAAATGTACCTAAAGCAGTCATGGGGAAACATATCTGATTTCTAGGGCCAAGATCTGGGTTCCCGATTTGCTCATCTCATCTGAAATATAGGAGATAATGATAACAAGGAGTACCTACCTCACAGCACCACTGAGAGGGTGAAATGAGTAATGTATATGAGTTTGAGAACATTTCCTGGCACATGGAATGTAAATAACTGTTAATTGTCATCATTATCATCACCATTCACTGTAAAATGAGGGTGGATTAGCACAGTGGATCACAAAGATCCCTCAAATGACATGGAATGCCCTCAAATGCCCACAAATGCCCTCAAATGACATGGACTCTAGTAGACTTGAACATGTTCTCTCAGGATAGATAGACACAGACTAGCGCTGGGAGTCTTCCTGGTCAGATATCTTCCCTGGTAACAGAGACACAGCCCTAAATGAGGCAGACAAATGCCCTGCCCTTGTAGAGCTTAAAGAAGAAGGGAAGGGAAGCTTTTTTGTTCTGATGTCAGGTAAAATCAACTCTTCTTTCCTCAGGAAGCCCTCAACAATTTCATGTTGAGGAACTGACTAATAATCATACAAATAAAAGCATTTTAATGCAACTTGGGTATAAAAGATAGTCTATTTCTGAGAACCTCACAGCACTTAGTGATGATCCAGTGATATTCACAATGCTGCAAACCCACAAAATACATGTTACTCAGATATTACACACTAGGCCTATGTGTGCCAAGAAAGTCCTTAGTCAAACATGGAGGTCAGGGAAGACGGGTTTTGGAAGGAGGTGAATGTGCGGCGAGGGGACAGTAGCATGGTGCCCAGGCCAGGGACAGAAGCCCTTTACAGGACCCAAGAAATCTGGCAGAAGGCTCTAGGCTGGCAGCTGGTTGCCCTCAGGGAAAAGTGAACCTTCAGAGAAGTCATTACCTCTGGTTAGCTCAGCTTCAGAGTTCAAGCAGAAGAAAACTATTTAATTCCTCTGACAGAGGAGTTGAGAGGAGCATTTCGAATTTCCCTAAATAAACTTTGTTTCTGGTTAAGTGAGTATGTTAGCATCGATGAATCGTAGCCACCTTAATGTCCTTAGCAAAGCCTTCCTGCCCCAGAGAAAGGCCAGGTGCCACTATTCCTGTCAAATGCTATGAATATTCTCTCTTTTGTTTTCAATGGACAAACTCTGGGTTATGAATAAGTTATGACAGAAGCAAGCATTGTCATTCATAAAGTCCCACCATAGAGTCGTACCTTCCTTAAAAAATCTATGTTTATCGTTGAAGGTTTATAAAATACAGTAACTTTGAACAATCAGTGATTTTGTATCAGAATCAAACAAAATGGGGAAAACTGTAGAGTTTCACAAGTCAGGGCAGAACTCCAACCTAGGCAATAGTTTGACTAGGCTGTGAAGCTGAACATATGGTTTAGGGCCACAGTTCAAGTCCCTACTCTATCTCTTGCCGACTGGGTAGCCCGGGCTCATTTGCCACACCAGCCTTATCCTGTTTCCTGCCTTTTGTCACAGCAAAGCTGTGCTGATAAATTGGAGTTTGGCCTCGATGAGAGCTGCGTGAGTGATGTTCTTAATGGGTCTGTGTGTGTAGCGGTTCCAGATGACCCACCTGGTCTCTTTACCATCAGTACCGTAGCCGTAACCAGTTAAAACTAACTTCAACTCTTTCCTGTGCCTCTTTGATCTTTATTTTATTTATTCAATTTTTTGAGACAGTTTTACTCTGTCACCCTGGGTAAAGTGCTGTGACATCATTATCACTCACTGCAATCTTAGACTCTTAAGCTCAAGTGATCCTCCTGGCTCAGGCTCCTGAGAAGCTGAGACTACAGGTGCCTGCCATGACGCGCAGCTGATTTCTCTATTTTTAGTAGAGACAGGGTCTCCCTTTTGTGTAGGCTGCTCTCAAACTCCTGAGCTCAAGCAGTCTACCTGCCTCAACCTCCCAAAGTGTTAGGATTACAGGCATGAGACAAGGCACCCAGGCCCTCTTTGATCTTTAACTCTCAGCAGGGCAAATAGTTTTCAGTAATTCATTATCCAACGTGATTTTCTAGTTTTTTTCTTTCTCATCTTTCTCTTCCTCCATCTGAGACATAAAGTAGAAAGAACAGATTAAACTCTGCAGACCTACCACCAGCTTCAACAACACTGAACTCGAAGCCTCACTTCTTTCCTGTACACCCATCTACTCACTTGCTCCTCCATAAGCTAATTACTTTAAAGCATGTCCCAGATATGACATATCATTTCATTTGTAAATATTTTATAAGATAGCGCTAAAAGATTCTAAGGAATCTTAAACATCACCACAAATGCCATTATCACACCAAAAATTTAACAGTTCCCTAATATCATCCCATTTCCAGTCATTGTTCAGATTTTTTGATTGTCTCATAGAAGCTTTGTATTAGTTGGCTCATTTGAATCAGGACTCATACAATGCCCACACTTTGCATTTGTTGATTTGTCCCTTAAGTTTCTTTTGGTCTATAGGTTTCTTCCTTCTCTTATATCCTTTCTGTTTGTTGGTAGTGGTATTCAAAAAATCAGTCCTTTTTAAAAAATAAAAAATTGGGATTTTTTTGTAACACATTAATCTTGATTATGTTTTATTAAACCAACATAAAAATTATGTTTAATTTCCTTAAGTAGATACCCAAAGGTGATAAAAAAAAAAAATAGCCCTGCATATACTAAAAATAGCCCCCACATCCTGCCCTGTCCTTCCTTGATCTGTGGGCCCCTGGGAATCGTCAGATCTTTTTAGCAAGCAATGCCCATGGTGTTATTCAATTGAAAATTGTTTTGCCATGCTGGAATGTCCTTTGTTTATGGCCAGCACTCCCTTCCCTACTCCTGCAGTCCCTCTGCTGAGGTACTAACAAAAGCAAGAGTGTCCCTTCAATTAGGAGGTCAGCAAAAGGAGATTCAATCAGGGCAAGAGAAAGCTGGGCTTCTCAGAAGAAGGGGTTCTTTGGGCCCAAGGTCAGAGGAGAGGGAGCTGGCTGAAGCAGCAGACTGTGGTTCACTGATCAGGTGACCCCATCCACAGACCACAGGCAGGTGTCCATGGTGCTGCCTTAGCCTGGGTCCCATCCAAAGTGATTCGGTCTGTCCTTTCTATCTCCACAATGCATTGGGGAGGCCCTGGTACAATGACCTTTTGACCTTTGAAGGTGGTGTCAATCCTTACTTTGGGCTTTAGTCTGTGTTTTATGAGCATGTCATAGACCATTAAGTCCACAAACCATTTCACTCAACTCACTACCTCTTATTTTTAACCATTATGTTATGGGAAATGTTTCCCATTCCAAAATCACAGTGCTACAATTCTGGGAAATTACTTTTATAAGTTCCCTGGATTTAAAAACATACACACAAAAAACCCTATGAACCATCCAATCCCCTCTCATACCATGCAGAAGATACAACCTGTGTGGACATAGTGTAATTCACAGGGTAGAATCAGGCCTGGTGACTCAGAAATCTGCACAGTGAAAGTTTCCCTTTAACTGATGTGGACTCAGTGGCAGGCTGTGTTTGGTTGGATTCATGCCCCCAGGGAGGAGAGCAGTGAGTGGGGAGAACTGAGCAGCCATGCTCGGAAGGAGCCGCTCGTGTTTGTTCACCTGACACGTGGGCAGGGAAATCTGGCCCCGGAAGTGTGTAGATAGGGCTGGCAGTGCCTTCTCCTACTTCCCACGCAAGCTGGTGGCAGAACTGGGCTCTGGAAAACAAGATAACATCACCTGCCTAGTGCCGCTGCTGGAGGGTCAGAGGGTCACCCTCACGGCAGGCAGAACTAGCACATGCCAGCTACACACCAGCCCTACAAGCTGAAAGCGACTCTGGACCAGCCTCGCCAGTCATACCTGGAAGGGGTCAGTGGCCTCCCTATTTCCATTTAACTTTCCTTGTCCCTTCAATGTTACAAGGATAATCAAAAGAAAGATTTACTTGGAGAATATCAAATTTTATGATTTTCCTTTGCCTCTTGAACAGCAACGATTTTTTTTAGGTTTTTACCTCCAAACCCACTCTCCCCATCCACATTCCTGTCATCAAGCCAGAAAACTTGCCTGCTGGGTAGGAGGTGAATAGAGAAAGTGTCCAAATGGCAATCAAAGCAGACTTTTCGTACTGCTAGGTTCTGTGACGAAGAGAAGGCCAAGGTGCTAGAAAAGGTGTCAGGAGTGCCACAACCAAGCCTCTGCCTCTAGTGAGGGTCCTTGCAAGGGTCACTTTTCAGTGGCATCTTCTGGTTTCTTGGTGAGTGTCTCCACAAATGTGTGAGCGCCACACATCAAAGCCCCTACCTTGGTAGGGGCCATAGCCAAAGAGCCAGGGCTCTCCCCCAAGCCCTTCGCTCCCCTGGCTAGAACCCTCCTGGCCTCCTCCCAGCCTCCTCCCGGCCTCCCACGCAGCAGTCCCGTTCACTCTCGCTGTGATTCTTCCAGAGCCCAGGAAACCTTCATGCAGTGGGATCAGTGCCGGCGGTTCTACAACTTCCTCATGGCGGACAACATGAAGAAGATCATCCTCTCGCACAGGTGGGTCCACTTTGTTGTCTCAGACTGTTCCTTCCTGAGCTCATTTGGGAATCACTAAGGCCAGAACTACTGTTTCTCCAAAAAAAAAGAAAAGAAAAAGACAAGGATGGTGCAGAATCTCTGCTGCCTGCATTCCCAGTTAGAAACAAACTTGCGCCAAGCCACCGAATTTGCCAAATTACTTTCTTTTTTTTTTTTTTTTTTTGAGACAGAGCCTCAAGCTGTCCCCCTGGGCAGAGTGCCGTGGCATTACAGCTCACAGCAACCTCCAACTCCTGGGCTCAAGCGAGTCTCCTGCCTCCGCCTCCCAAGTAGCTGGGACCACAGGCGCCCGCCACAACGCCCGGCTATTTTTTGGTTGCAGCCGTCATTGTTGTTTGGCGGGTCCGGGCTGGGGATTCCAACCTGCCACCTTAGGTGTACATGGCTGGCGCCTTAGCCAGCTGAGCTATAGGCGCCGAGCCCCAAATTACTTTCTGCCTTTATAATCCCCAGTAAATCCAAGGCAAGGAAGAACTTCTGATCCCTTCCTAACCAGATTAGAGCATCCCTGAGGTGGCTTGTCACCACTGAGGGGACCTTCCTTCTCAGGATGCTTCTGTGCATGGAGATCAGGAGTTGTGCTTTGCCAGCCCTTGGCGTAGTGGTGGCACCTCTCTGCTGGGGGTTTGGGCCTCTGCATATTCACCACGCTCAGCCTGCCTCTCTTCTGTCCAAAATCCTTCAATGGGTTAACCCATCAAGTGTTTAAAGTACCGCCCAGTATACAGTAGCACTCAATAAATATTACTGATGATTTTTTATTGAGATTATTATTATCACTGACACTCCTCTCTCCTCCCCTGCACTGTCATCCCCTCCAGCTGGACTGGGCCACTTAGAGAATCACATACCTTTGGCCTTTCCCACACGACTTACCACCTCTCCTGAAAATGCACTTCCATGAGTTCTGCTTGTGGAAACCCCGCCTTTATCCTTTGAGGTCCATTTCAGTTATCTTGCCACCCCCAGGTTGCTTTTCTGTTACTCCTTCTGTGAATCTTGTGTCTCAAATAAAACTTGAAAACAGTGGAGGGCTTGGACATGTTTTGATTCCTCCCACAGCTTAGTACATATGATCACTCAAAAAATAGAATTTGGGGCCAGGCATGGTGGCACATGCTGGTGATCCTAGCAATTTGGGAGGCCAAGGCAGGAGAGTCACTTGAGGCCAGGAGTTCAAGACCAGCCTAGGCAACATAGCAAGACCTCATCTCTTTTTTTTTTTTTTTTTTTTTTTTGAGACAGAGTCTTACTATGTCACCCTTGGTAGAGTGCTATGGCATCACAGCTCACAGCCACTTCAAACTCTTGGCCTTAAGCATTTCTCCTGCCTCAGCCTCCCGAGTAGCTGGGATTACAGGCTTCCACCACAACTCCTGGCTAGTTTTTGGTTGCAGTTGTCATTGTTGTTTAGCAGGCTGGGCCCGGGCCAGCCTTGGTGTATGTGGCCGGTGCCCTACTCACTGAGCTACAGGTGCTGAGCCAAGACCTCATCTCTTAAAAAAAAAATTTAGCAGGGCATGGTGGTGTGCACCTGTCATCCCAGCTGCTTGGGAGGCTGAGGTGACAGGATCACTGAACCAGGAGGCGCAAGGCTACAATGAGCTCTGATTGCACCACTGCTCTCCACCCTTGGTGACAGAACTAGGCCCCATTTCTTAAAAAAAGAAAAACAAGGGGAGATTTTGGGTACCATTCTGGAGAAAGCACTCTGGCAGAACGATCAGTTCCTTATTCTCTTTTTTCCAACAATTAAAAGAAAATATGGTACTGCCCGTCCAGGCCACGTGCCCCAGATTTGGCTTCCTGTGGGTGAGGGAATCACATGGGCAAGGATGGGCTTGTGGGCCCCTTAAGCTGCCGAGTTGCCAAGCTGCCACACATGTCCTCGGGTCCTCCTGCTGGGTGGGTAGAGACTTCTGTCTCCTGTGCTGTCTGGAAATTCAGCTGTTTCCACTTGGCTGGTGTTTAAGCATCAGCCATGTGTTGGGGAGTGAGTTGGGTGTGGCACAGTTGAGGTTTGGAAAGGTCTGGGCATTTGCTGAGGTTATGTAGCCAGAAAGGGTGAAGTCAAGTCCACGTCCTCTGTTTGCCTTCCTGTACCTGTGGGGTCAAAAGACCTCCCAAGGAACATTTATTTTGCTGAAGGGCCTGGTCTTGCTACTGATCACTCTAAAAGGTTCATCGTGTAATTCTTGACAGATTGTAAGTGTCCTTTGAGTATGCCGTAAGTGCATTTACATTTTTGAGATTTATTGCAGAAAGTCTAACATTTAGAAATTTTAGGAAAAATTTAAATTTATGAAATCTATGCAGTAGGTATATAATCTAGCCAATATTCTTTTGAAAAAATAAATGCTAAATAATTGTGTTCCTTGTCTTTTGGAGAGATTGTGAATGGAGAGCAGAATAGTGAGTTTCCATAATGAATCTCTCCCACTGTAGGGCCAGAACCCAGGAAAATTCAGCCCTCTGTCAGCTGTGTGATAGAGAGTGGGAGGAGATCTGAATGCACATTCTGACTCTCCCTTTATTGTCATCCTCTCAATATGGAGCTGCTCTTCATAGAAGTGATTAGTCACCTGAATAGATGTTAACTTTTATCTAACAGTTGGAGAGCTATTGATTTGTCCCTGTGCTAAATGGGTTAAGCTTTGTCTTCCTTGTTAAGTGACACAAATGGCTCACAGTGGACCAAGGGGCAGTGTCAACACCAGTGTAAAGACAAGGCTGCCCACAGCCTGCTGCTTACCATGAAGCCCATCCTGAGACCTCCTCCCCTGTAGTGAAGGCTTTGTGGTATTCACTGGCACTCAGACCTAATCTTTAGTTTGTCTATGTGCCCCTGGAAAGGAAAATAACATCTTGACATTCATCTTTTCTCCTGTTATTCAAAAGTCGTTATGCACAAGTTCATCGTCTGGGACATTCTAAAGGCCAGGGATCTGTTTCTTACTTACCACATAGGCTTTAGGCCCTGGCTTGCCTCCGGGCAGGGCAGCAGGCTCTGCTGTGGTTCTTTATCCTCACTTTGTTAGTCTCTGCTTTTGTGTTTCATTCTAGGCAAGCTCTTTTTGGAGACCAAGTTAAGAAACCCCAGTGCCTGGAGGACACAGACTTGAGCCGTCTCTACACAGCAACATCCCTGATGCAGATTGACGACAACGTGATGAGGTGTGTCCACACAGGCAGGAGAGGAATGCCCTGGGACAGGGTGCCAGGCCACAGCCCAGCTCTGCTCAGTACAAGTGCTTTGTTCTGCCCACTTTAGCATTAGGGTTTTTTTATTTTCCTTTGAATAAGTGTCTAATGTTTAAAAACAGATTTCACAGGAAAATCCAAGTTCTTAATTTCTCTTGGAAAATAGGAAGAGATCTGACCACTAACTGCATTCCTGCATAGCATAGCCAGCTTGAACTGAGAAGCCCGGGCATGCACTGCCTAGACCCTGCCTGTCCTGCCTCTACCCCAGGGCGTACCTCAGGTGCTGTGTAGATCTGCTTTGGTAGTGGAGTGAAAGAGAAAGGAAGTGTGTCTTGTACCCATCTAAGCCTCTGTGATAAGTAGAAAAACAGAAGACAGACCAGAGGACTGTGTATTTCAAGCAAAATAAACAGAGCCTCTTTCTTTGGGACTTGAAGACTCCGGTGTTAGATGCAAGCCCACTCACTTCACTCATTTGCTCTTTACTTGCCTGGCCCCTCCAGACACCTGAGGTCACAACACTGACAGTGTCCTCTTTTCTGGTACCAGGAGTTTCTGATTGAGTCTCAGCTGCACTAAGATTAATTGCTGTCCTCATCATTCTCTTTAAATATGTCATGCTTTTTATTTAACAATTATTTGATACCTTTAGACATGGTTTAAAGCGAATAAGTATTCATCTGATAGACATAAGGGTATGGGATCTCTAGTTTTCTTATGAGATTTTAGTTGCCTTCTTATACAAAGTAACCTTGAATTGTGCCAATTAACAGTTACTCAAAGGAGATACAAACTAGGAAATAGCTGCTATGTTCAGAAGATGAGAGTGTATCTTACCCACCCTTACCATGGGGTGTGTGATTTTATTGTGGTGTCTAATGAGAAAACAAGTTTAATTTAAATTTCCCATTCATCTTCTAAATTTGTTTAAACCTGAAAGAGAATGTTCCTCAACGCTCCCTAGAGTTCTCAAGTAGTAGTGGATATGGTAGCAGTTTTATTTATTGCAACCCGTTTGGCAGCCTTGTCATAGATCCATTACCAGAGGAAGGGAATGTTTTCCTTGCCTGCTGAGCCCACAGAGGGACTGATTTCATAAGGACAGACAGGCTAGAGATGATCTCCGTAATCAAGAGGGCCCCAGTAGTCTGGCCACAGCTTTCCAGGTCCTTCCCAGGCAGAGATATCTAAGGAGGCTGGTAGTACAAGAGATCCACAGCTCTGAGGGGGGCAAGACACTTTAAAGACCCCAGTCAGAATGAAAAGATCTACTTACTATTTAGAAACCAGAAAGAAATGAGGTTTCCAGAGTCTCTCTGGCCTGGACTAACTCAGGCCTCCTGGTGGCAGAATTCCAGGATGAACCTCGCCAGGCCTCCTGGGGCCCAGAGCAAAGCACAGCTGTAGGACTTTCTTGCTGGAGCACAGAAGGTGTTGTTATTTGCCACTTTATCTCTGATCACTGCTCCCTGGCTGGACAGAATTGGCAACTTTGAACCCATCTCATTTCTATTATCTAATATGTATTTCATTCCAATTCATGGTGGTCCTCTTGTTACTCCACGTGGAAGAACTCTGTCAAAAAGAAAGTTCTAGTAAATGCCTTTGAATTTCAGTTTCTCTGTGTCTGTAGTGCCATCTTCTTTTATGGTGCCTCAAAGGATATAACATCCACTAGTAATTACTATAGATAAGTTACTACAGGGCAGTTACTCTGGGTCAGTTGCCATGCTAGCAAGCACTTTGATGTCATAACCCTCACAGCACCATTGAGGAAGATCCTGTCCTCAGATCTGCTTTGCACAGGAAAAGCCGAGGCTCAGAAAAGTTGAACCATTTAACTAAAGTCACACAGGTAATAAACGGTTGAGCTAGGATTTGAATCCAGATGCTAAATCCAGTGCTCTTAACCCCTAACCCGGCTGCCTAGGTATATTCTACTGATAGGTTCTGATGTAACAAGTTAGAGCAGGAATTGAAGGAGTAAGAAAAATCAGTGCAGCATTTAGGCCTGACTGCAGCCCTGCTGCCTTTGTTTTTCTACCAATGCAACAAGTTAGGGTAGGGAGCCGGAGCAATAATGGGCTCAGCATTCTGATCTTATGACAAATGTTGTTTCGTCCTTTTCCTTGTATGTGTGTGTGCTCCAGGAAGTTTCATGGCTATAACTCCCTGAAGGAATATTATGAGGAAGAAAGCTGCATGAGATACCTGCACAGGGTGAGTGACCAGCACTAGCTGGGATTAGCGTCACTCCATTGAGCCTCACACATGGTACAGTCCTCCTGAATTTGCCTGGTGGATGCTCAGTCAGAGCTGCCTCAAACTGTTCTAGTCTTTAGCTTGAATTTGTTATTGAATCAAACTCTGTCCCTGTGTGACCACCATACATTAATCCCCGAGGTGCGCCTCAAACCAGTCTGCTGGCATATCTGTATGAAAGTCCTTAAACTTGCTCCAAAACCCAGTTGTTTTCTTAGTCTTCCTTTGACAGTATAATGCTGCCTGTTTTTTGCCATGGCTCTTCATGGGAGATCCATCTAGATTTCTTACCCCTTTTGTGGCCTACTCGGACCCATTTTTTTGGCCAGTGTGTATTATGTTAGGCTAAAAAACTGAACTGGAAAGTTCCTGCTGTCATCTGGCAAGCACAGAATAAAATAGATGTATTTGTATATCAAAGTAATGAGGAATAAGTCTGTTGCTAAGGTAGACTAGTGTTTTATTAATGCAGTTTTTAACAGCTACAATGAACTACATGTGTATTAAGTTCATAGCTAACCAAAATCCCCATATATTTTTTACCTAAACTACCACCAAGCCAGTTTTTCTCATTTCTGTCTTTGCACAATTACTCTTTTACCCATTTGTCTCTGTCAATGTCCACCTGTTGGCTTGGCATTCCATTCCCCCAGATGAAACACATAATTGTGAATTGCAGTTCTGCTGTCACCTCAGCCATTCCTCCTAGTTTAGCATCATCACCCAGGCTTTTGGTTTCTTCATTTAAGCCAATGTAGAAACATTGAGCTGTCTAGAGACCTCCAGGAGAGAACAACCAACCATTCACTACCTCAATACGGTGTTCAGTAACTTCTGAGTCTCCCCAATAGCACTATCTCCACTAAAATGAAAAAGGAGACCGTTGACTGTTTTTCTAAAGTGGATATTGAGCACAGCCCTGCCAAGAGTTCCCCAGTATTCACCAGCTTCCTCCTGTTTTCAACCTTCAGATTCTACTAGAAAATCTCTTTTGTCTGGCATGGAGTGCACTTCACTTTTCCTCCCTGCAATATCAACTGAATGAATATGTATATAACGCTTTGTAAAGCCTTTTTGGTGAAAAGCATAGCTAATCTGAAACACTGTGATGATCATCAGAAAGCTTTGCTCCAGCACACGCCTGCTGCCGAGGTGATAATCACAGTGGCAGATGTAAGTCATCGTGCTGCCAGTGAATACAAGGCATCCTTACTCCACCTGTTCACCAAGCTGAGCTTTGTTCTCTTCTTCCCTGTGCCTCAAAGATGTTCCCGGTAGTGAACTTGAGCCTTGAATAATGGGGTCTGAAAATGGGAATGGATAATTTAACTCTGCTTTATTTTCTTGTGCAGATTTATGTGCCTCTCATGCTGGTTAATGCAGCTGATGACCCTTTGGTGCATGAAAGTCTTCTAACTATCCCCAAATCTCTTTCAGGTAAGTGTTTCTTCCTGCTGCTCCCTCAACCACTTAGCAAATTGCCACAGTAAATCCTGTCCGTGTCACTGTGCTATCATGCTGTCATCTCCTGGGGAATAGTCTCTTTGGAGGAAGGACATCTCATGGCAGTGTTCTTATTCTACCTATCCTGATGATCCTGCAACTGTGATGGGACCTGGGCAGAGCCCTCATGTGTTCCCTCCTGGTACAGGAGATGGGACCATTGTGTATATCCACAGCCAAGAGGGCTTTGGGGAAGTCACCTGGTAGTCTATGAAATTGTCTCAGAGTTATGATTTCATTAAGTTTAAGAGTTTGACTCTAGGGCGGCGTCTGTGGCTCAAAGGAGTAGGGTGCCGGCCCCATATGCTGGAGGTGGTAGGTTCAAACCCAGCCCCGGCCAAAAGCAGCAAAAAAAAAAAAAAAAAAAAAAAAAGAGTTTGACTCTAAGCTATTCAGACTTCACCTTTGACCTAAAAAGCAAAATAATAAGGCCAGTTCTGCTACCTCTTGTGACGGCCTCTTCACCTGCTTTAAGGATAAAAATAAAAGCAGCTAAAATGGCAAAGAACATGCTCATAGGAATATTGTTATCCCTCAGGCCAGCATGGTCTCACTTCATGCTAGTTAGAAGCTAAAGGAGGAACTAGCCAGAGGACAGTAGGAGGAGACACTGGGAATTCCCTAAGTTGCTTTTATTGGAGTCTCAGATTCCCTAGGAAATAATCCACTGCCCTCCACAGTCTTCCTCACGCAAACATCATATATTAGCCCGAAGGACGAGGCAACCTCTGGTTTTCCCAGGACTCCCAGGCTAGAAGAGTAGATAGGATAGTGGGTAAAGGACCGACACCCAGCCAGAGCTGTTACTGCTCAGGAGGAAGGCTGCATGTGTTTGTGTGATCAAAGGCATCCCCATCCAGCCCTGGGCTCCCTGCACCATAGCAGCCTGCTGAGCTATGTGTGCAGCAGGAGAGAAAGCAACAGCATTTGTTTCCTTCTACCTCTAACAGAACATTCCTAGTGCTAATGTCACTGCAAAATTTATCAGATAGCTACCAAAAAGCAACAACAAAGGTCAGGCAAGAAAGCAGACCCGGAGAGCCAATAAAGGGCTCTTGTCGGCTCGGCACCTATAGCTCAACCGGCTAAGGCGCCAGCCACGTACACCTAAGGTGGCAGGTTCGAATCCCCAGCCCGGACCCGCCAAACAACAATGACGGCTGCAACCAAAAAAAATAGCCGGGCGTTGTGGCGGGCGCCTGTAGTCCCAGCTACTTGGGAGGCGGAGGCAGGAGACTCGCTTGAGCCCAGGAGTTGGAGGTTGCTGTGAGCTGTAATGCCACAGCACTCTACCCAGGGGGACAGCTTGAGGCTCTGTCTCAAAAAAAAAAAAAAAAAAAAAAAAAAGGGCTCTTGTCACTACCTTGAGAAGACAAATGTTCCTCTTGTACCTGGCTGCCCATTTTACACACCTCTTCAGTACTGGCCATTGGGCAGTAATGTAAACATGGATTCATAAAATCAAGCTCCAGTTTACTAATTTTTAGGTTGGCCATTTACCTGGTAGCATGGAGAGCTTGGGCATCTTTCAACACAACTTGCAGCTTTAAGTTCAGTCTTAATCTTGAAGATAAATGATTGTAACAAAAGATCTTTAACTCTGTTGAATTCTCCTCATTCCTGGTAAATAACACTATTAATGCTATGAAACCCTACCCAGAGCCTGGCCGACACCACTAGAATCAGCATCACCTGGAGCTTTTGAGAAATGCAGAAAATCCTCCTTCCAGCTTAGTCAGAATCTGCATTTTAACAAGATGTCCCAGGTGATTCTGAGGCACAGAGAAAGTTGGGAAGCACAGTGACTTGCCTGGAGAGCTTTGGTAGCACTAGTGCCTAGATTCCCCTCTCTCACTGCTCCCACCCCCCTACCCCTGCACCAAGAGGTTCTAATTTAAGTTTCTGGGTGTCGTCTTGGTTAAGGGCATTTTAAAGACTCCCTACCTGGTTCTAATATGCAGCCAAGTTTGAGAACCCCTTAGAGTTCTCAGGGTTTTGTAAGCTGGTGCCCTTTCTGCTCCAAAGCCAAGCTGCTCTTCCAAGACCTGCTAAATCCCACTGTCTTGCCTGCTGCACCAAAGGTCTGTCCCACTTTGGTGATCAAGGCAGAGTGAGTAGAAGTTGGATGCCCACTTAGGTGACTTTTTCCCTGTGGGGAAAGACCAGGCCACCCTGGCCTGCTCATTTTCACATTTTCTATCCTGGAGCTAACTAGAATTTAGTAACTCACTCAGCTGCCTTTTCCCTGCAGAGAAACGGGAAAACGTCATGTTTGTGCTGCCTCTACATGGGGGCCACCTGGGCTTCTTTGAGGGTGCTGTGCTGTTCCCTGAGCCCCTGACGTGGATGGATAAGCTAGTGGTGGAGTATGCCAACGCCATTTGCCAGTGGGAGCATAACAAGTTGCAGTGCTCTGACACGGAGCAGGTGGAGGCCGACCTGGAGTGAGGCCTCCGGACTCTGGCTCCAGCAGCCCTCCTCTGGAACCTGCGTCCCCTCATCCCCTGTTTCAGGTCTCCCATCTCCCTCAGTGACCTGGATCTGACCTCACACCATCAGCGGGGGACACCCACCATGCACACCTGTCTCGGAGTAGGCAACTCTCCCTGGGAGCTCCAGGCTATTTTTGTGCTTAGTTACTGGTTTTTTCCATTGCATTGTTAGCCATGGTGACAAGTGACACAGTTCTCACCTTCCTGTCCAGTTTCAGCATCTGATTGCTTTTATGCCAATTACATCTAGTTTCCCTATTAAAAAAATGTGTCTGAACAGCAATTTTGCTTTGCCAATCAAAAGGCTTTTCCCTAAGAATAGTGAGGATGTATGTCATTTTATAGTGGTTGTATGTGTCCTTACATAGACCTTGAGAAGAGCTCACCATTCTGGACCAATGCTGAAGACACCGTTCAGCGTGAGCACCTGAGGAGCTGGGCCTCCCAGGCTGGAGTTGGCCTCTTAAATGGCAAAGGAAGTCACAAGCCAAGTTTTCTCCCTCATTGTCTTCTAAATCAGTTTCCCTGTGCTTTGCTGCCGATGAGAGTTATATGGGGCACTTGTTAAAAATTCAGCCTCCCAGGTCCCTCCCCTTGGGGAGACTGATTCAGTGGGTCTGGGAAGGGGTCTGGGGATTTCAGTTTTTCACAAGTGCCCCAGGGGATTCTCATCACCTGGTAAATTTGGGAAACATTCAACGGCACCTTTAAATCTTCATAGCTCCTTTTATTGAAACTCATAGGCAAAGGTGTCTCTTAGCTTCCAGGGGCCTCCAGAGCAGCAAGGCCTGCCCCGTAGCTACTCTAGAGTGACCACGGTGTGATGGCGTAGATTCACAGCGGTTCTCAACCTGTAGGTTGTGACCCACAGGAACTGTATTAAAGGGCCACAGCATTAGGAAGGTTGAGAACCACTGTCTTAGAAGGGTCTGGGTGGTAGTGAGCATCTGGGCTGTGCCCTGCTCTGCTTCACCCTGGACAAGGTCCCTTTGAACTTTAGTTTCTTCATCAATAAAAAAGGGGATTTGGACCAGGGAGAAGATTGCTGAGATCGCTACCAGTTCTAAAGTTCAATGACAAACTCAGTTTACTGAGGTTTGAGAGAACATCCCTCCAGAGGAGCCTGGGAACTATTCTCCCACTCTAAGCATGTAGATATCATCATTTGCCCTCCCCCCCCCCCTTTTTATTCATATAAAGAGGTTTGGATTTTTTTTAAGCACTCAATTATAATTTTAGTTTTTTAACCAAGGTCTCTTTTACTCTGGCTTTTGATACCAAACAATTCAAAAGTTGGATATGAATTTGGAGAAAGGTATTTCCAACTGAAGAAGGTGTTATTTTGGAACCAGATTTTTAATAGCCTATACGTGTGGTCTGTAGGATAAATCTTTGCAAAGTGTACCTTCTCAAATGAAAAATGTCACTCTAGGTTTCAAGTACTCCTTCTCTCCAATCTTGTGGTACTTGAATATCTAAAAAACCCTGCACTCGGAAAAATCAGCAGTTGCTATCTGGAACTAAACAAACTATGAGTGAAATTGCCGGATACTTTAAAAAGATATTTTCCTTGCTTCATCTCCTTTCTGTCCAGGACAGACTGGAATATAAATAGTGGGTCTGTGGGAATGTTTAAGGGGTAAAGGGAGTCACCTGAACACCTACCTGAAGCCAAACCTCATGGCCACAGGTGGGTGTAGGTTGGACATCAGCCCAAGTGACCATGACAGTAACATCTGTAACCTAAAGTTTTCTGACAATCAACAAATCATCCTATTAAAATCAAAAACAGCCATTATTTCAGAAGATTGAGATTTCTGAGCTCTCAACTCTGCTTTGGTATTTCACACAATCTCCAAATTCTATTATTATGACTTTTCCCCCAAGTTGTTATTTCTCTAACGCATTTCCTTTTTGCTGTCTTTTTGCACAATTTGGCACTTTACCCCTCAATTTGGAATCTAGTCCCTCTGTTACTTTTCCCTCTACCCAACCGCAGTTGTAATCTAGAAAATTCATAGTCGTATTTCCTACTACCTTTAATTCTTAAGATTTATTTGTGAAAATAGGTAAATCAAGCAATAGGTGAATAGGACTGAATCACCATCCCAGGAATAAGAGGCTCCTTTCATTTGCCTGAGGCCACATCTCTTAACCTATTCTGACAAAGTAGTGGCCAGCCCAGGTGCCAGCCCAGGTACCAGCTCCATTGAGTTGAAAAGACAGTGCTGTTGTCACATCAACAAGAAGGAAGGAATCCTTGGAGTGTGGTCTGCGTGGCAGTCCTAGTGGCCCTCACAGAAGAGAAGCATGGCTGGTGGGGCATAGCCTTTCTTGTCACACAACTGAATTCACCCGCCAGGGCTGTGGGGCCCTGTCCCAGCTGAAATCTTTTTAGCTTGTGACTCTGAATGTCAATTACATTCCCTTTTGGCTCACATGAAATCAACTGAAGCCCTTTGTGCCAGCTCTAGGCCCTCAGGCATTGAAATGAGAATGGGACTGTGACTGTTAATATAGGAAAATTCTTGTCTGTCCCTGAAAGCACAGAGGCAGCTGCACTTACAGAGAGGCAAACTGGCCTAGTAAATGAGGGAGCAGCATTTTATTTATAAGTCATCTTTTTCCCGCCTCCAGGCTTGTCTTTCTTCCCAAAGTCATTCATTTCTGGTGATAATGTGAAAGCTCTTCTTGCTGTTAAGGTCCTATTTGGGCTAAAACAGAGCTGAATTTTTAGGTTATTTGAACATTATATTTTAAAATCAAATTAAGGATATAAATTGTATTGATCTAGACAATTCTGTTGCAGGAATAAAACCAAAGGAGGAAAGGATCCATATTTCTCCTATTATATACCCTGCCTCCTAAACAGTTTGGAGAATAACTGATCTCAGACAAATTAGAATTATCTAACTTGAAAAACAGTGTCAAATCTCTGACTCATTTTTGTTAGAAAGGAGTTTAACACACTTGAAGAAAACTTTTCTTTCTTGCTGCGAGTTTGCACCAGTGATTGCAGAGCAGAATGAAGGCAGAAAGTTGTTTGTTGTTAACAATGTTCTTTTAACCTCTCTGAGGCATTTTATGTATTTGCAGGGAGGCTTATGAGCTACCATGCGAGTGGAAATATACCTGAAAGGGGAGCGTTTCTTTTTTGATGTGATGTTATAGAACCAAAGTCCAAGAGACCTAGGTTCTTGTCTTGTCTCTAATTTACGCTGGATCATGGGCAAGTCACTTGACCCCTCTGAGCCTGTTCCCTTATCTTAGGCCATCTCTAAGACTGCATCATTTATTTATACATCATTTGCTGAACATTTGCCTGAACTTGGCTCTCACATCCTTGCAGATGGAAACAGCTATGTCAAGGCCCAATGTCATCTTGTGGGACTTGGAGGGAGGGAGCTTCTGCATTAAGCCTGTCCTGGTGGAGAATTTTGATCTTGTCCAAAGCCCTGAGTCTCTGACTGGCTTATCTCCATTGTCATCACAATATCTAAGCCGTTCTGAGGGTGGTCTTGTGACTGTGGCAGGTGCTGACTGCTACTATGAGGAGAATATCTCCATCCCCCAATGTGACTCAGGCATTGAGAATTCCCAGGGCAGAAATTCTTCCTGCTCAGCCTTTCATTCTAAAATTACAGTCTTCATTAAGGCTGAACTTTCTGGGTAGCTGAGCTTATTTGCCTGGCATCTGAATGAAAGCTCTCTTTGTAACTGTGACTTGAGATCTGTTTTGCCAGCTCCAGAAACAATACATGTGTTCTTGTTTGTGTTTGCCACGCAAGCAGATGTCTGGGATGTGAGGGGCTTTTCTTTTCTGACGGCATTGATTCTGACTTAGAGCTAAAGTAAAGATTGCTGAAACATCACATTGGGCTGAAGGAACTCAGAGGTCTTTGTCCTTTAGGCAGGATAGGAGGGTTATTAAGAAGCATTTCACTGCAGCATTCTGTCACATCTGGAATTGTTTTCTTTGCCCAGAAAGCCTTAACTTGCCTCTAGAAAATCCCCTGGTATTACAACTGTTTTGTGACATTAGATTCAAATTCTTCCGCTGTGGAAGCATGAAGCAAAGCCACAGCAAAACCAGAGAATTTCCTCCATGGGAGGTAGGGTCCTTGTCACAGTATGTCCCCACCCCTCAGCAATACAAGTGATCCAGAACTGGCCAGAACATCTCATCTCTGCCCCCTCTCTGTCCTTGGCCTTACTGTGTTGTTCAAAGCCACTTTGGATTGCTTGGATGCTTCAAAAAACCATGAAAAGTAGCCTGACTCTGGCATTTAGAGGCCAAGCAGTTGAGTGAAAGATTATCTTCTACCTGTTACCTAAGCAGGGGGAAGTACCCCTCTTCATAGACTAGAATTGCTTTTGCCAAATTGTATTTGAAGCTAAGGGAAGAACTGGCCTCTGCTGGCAGAGAGAACTAGAATGCCATCTTAAGACCCAGGCTGCTTCCTCTTGCCCACATCTCTGCCGCTGCTGCCTCCAAATACTGCAGCCCAGGCATCCTGTAGTGGCCTTTGGAAGCAAGCCACCGAATCAAACTCACTAGCCATTCTCAGACTCCTAGAAAGTAGACAGCTGCCCCCTTTGGAAGAGTCAATCCCCCATGTTTTCTGAACTGTTATTTCTAGCATGTATAGGTAAAGCGTTCATGTGTCTCCTAATAAGTAAGCCGAAGTTAATGTCTAACTGGTGGATTAAGCCTAACATTCTGAGTTCCATCAAGTTTTCAGCCTTTAACTAGACTCCTGTCAATTAGTAATGAAATCTATAACTTACCTTTTCCTGCTTCTGGTCCCCATTAGCCAAGAAATCCACTATTGCCATAAATTGGGGACAGTCCACTTACAGCATCTGTAGAAATATCCTTTGTCTCTACGGGCATCTTCCAGACCACCCACGTTAACAGCCAGCAGTCACCGGGATGAATTGCTGACCCCCTTGGTCCCAGCGCCAACCAGTTCTCTCCTAGGCTGTTCGTGTGGGTGGACAGAGTTTCTGGGTATAGAAGTTAGGTTTTGTTTGGTTTTTATTTTGGCCTCTTTAGTTTCCTAAAGCACAAGTCCATGTAGAATCCTGCCACCTCTCCACACCAGTTCCAGATGATCTGGGTCTCTCCCACTGCCTCAGGAAGACCTTCACTGTACCTGAGCTTTTGACTTCTGCCACTGCAGCTGCCTTAGTGACCCCAGGGGAGGGGGGAGGGGAGGGGGGAGCAAGTTTGCATCTCTCCTTTTCCTGGTTAGACTCCTTCAACCACATTCTTAAGTTGGC